TCTTGTTGTTGATTTCAAGTTTCCTAGCCTTGTGGTCTGAAAATATGCATGGTATGACCTTGATCTTTTTGTACTTGTTGAGGGTTGATTTGTGTCCCAGTATGTGATCTATGCTGGAGAACATTCCATGTGCACTGGAGAAGCATGTATATTCTGCTTTAGGATGAAATGTTCTGAATATACTCGTTAAGTCCATTTGGTCCAGTGTGTCATTCAAAGGCATGTTCCCTTGTTGATTTCTGTTTAGATGATCTGTCCATTGCTGTGAGTGGGGTGTTGAAGTCCCCTACTATTATGGCATTATTATCAATGAGTTTCTTTATGTTTATGATTAATTGATTTATATTTTTGGGTTTTCCACATTTGGAGCATAAATGTTTACAATTGTTATGTCTTCTTGATGGATAGCCCCTTAATTATGATATAATTCCCTTCTTCACCTCTTGTTACAGTCTTTATTTTCAAGTCTAGATTGTCTGATGTAAGTATGGCTACTCTGGCTTTCTTTTGTTGACCATTAGCATGATAGATGGTTCTCCATCCCCTTACTTTCAATCTGAAGGTGTCTTTAGGTCTAAACTGGGTCTCTTGTAAACAGCATATAGATGGATCTTGTTTTCTTTTATTTTTAAATATTTTTTAATGTTTTATTTTTTTGAGAGAAAGAGGGAGAATGAGTGGGGGAGGAGCAGAGAGAGAGGGAGACACAGAATCTGAAGCAGGCTCCTGGTTCTGAGCTGTCAGCACAGAGCCCTATGTGGGGCTTGAACTTATGAACCATGAGATCATGACCTGAGCCAAAGTTAGAAGCTTAACCAACTGAGCCACCCAGGCACCCAGATGGATCTTGTTTTCTTATCCATTCAATTGTCCTATTCTTTTGATTGGAATATTTAGTCCATTAACGTTTAGAGTGAGTACTGAAAAGAAGTGAATGTATTGCCATTATGTTGCCTGTAGAGTTGGAGTTTCTGATAGTGTTCTCTGGTCCTTTCTAATCTTTGTTGCTTTTGGTCTTTTTTTTTTTTTTTCCATCTTTTCTCCCTCAGAGAGTCCCCCTTAAAATTTCTTGCAGGGCTGGTTTAAATTTTTTTTTCAACGTTTATTTATTTTTGGGACAGAGAGAGACAGAGCATGAACGGGGGAAGGGCAGAGAGAGAGGGAGACACAGAATCAGAAACAGGCTCCAGGCTCTGAGCCATCTGCCCAGAGCCTGACGCGGGGCTCAAACTCACGGACCGCGAGATCGTGACCTGGCTGAAGTCGGAGGCTTAACCGACTGCGCCACCCAGGCGCCCCATTGCAGGGCTGGTTTAATGGTCATGAACTCCTTTAATTTTTGTTTGGGAAACTTTTTATCTCTCCTATTTTGAATGACAGCCTTGCTGGATAAAGAATTCTTGGCTGCATATTTTTCTGAGTCAGCACACTGAATATATCTCGTCACTGCTTTCTGGCCTGCCAATTTTCTGTGGATAGGTCTGCTGCAAACCTGATCTGTCTTCCCTTGTAGGTTAGGGACTTTTTTCCTTTGCTGTTTTCATGATTCTCTCCTTGCCTGAGTATTTTGTGAATTTGACTATGATCTGCCTTGTTGATGGTCGATTTTTGTTGAATCTAATGGGAGTCCACTGTGCTTCCTGGATTTTGATGTCTGTGTCTTTCCCCAGGTTAGGAAAATTTTCCACTATGATTTGCTCACATAACCCTTCTACCCCTATTTCTCTCTCTTCCTCTTCTGGGACCCCTATGATTCTGATGTTCCTTTTTCATGAATCACTGATTTCTCTAATTCTTAAATCGTGCTCTTTTGCCTTAGTCTCCCTCTTTTTTTCTGCTTCATTATTCTCCATAAGTTTGTCCTTCAGGTCGCTAATTCTCTGCTCTACCTCATCCATCCTTGCCGCCGTGGCATTCATTCAAGATTTCAGCTTAGTTATACCATTTTTTATTTCATCCTGACTAGCTTTTATCTCCACAGAAAGGGATTTTAATCTGTTTTCAACCCCAGCTAGTATCCTTATTATCATGATTCTAAATTCTGGTTCAGACATCTTGCTTTTAGCTGTATTGATTAAGTCCCTGGCTGTCATTTCTTCCTGCTCTTTCTTTTGGGGTGAGTTTCTTCGTTTCATCATTTTTAAGGAAGAAACAGAAAAAAATTAGAATTAAAAAATTAAAAACAAGACGAAAAAGTCAAATAAAGGATGCTAGATCCTAGGTGTGTTCTGGTCTGTTTTTGAAAGGAGGTTGATAGATTAGAGAAAAAAAGAGAAAGATAAAAAAGAAAAAAGGAAACTGTTGTAAATTTGAAAAAATGAATACAATGAAATAGAATAAAATGAAATAATGGAAGTAAAAAAATAGCATTTGAAAAATTTACAAAAAAATAAAAAATATAGTAGAAAAATTAAAGACATATTTAATAGAAATGAAAAATAGAGATAATTTGTTTCTGATTCTGTATTCAAGAATCAGAAAAAAAATTAAATAGATGGACCAGCAAACAGACTGAAGTACGATTGAAATCACATCGTTTTCCCCTAGAAGTTGGACTATGTAGCACTTTATAGTCCATAAACTATGCAGGCAGAGAGACTTGTGTTCCTGAAGAGCGAGGTTGGCCCAGTTGGGCGGGCTTAGTGTAACAGCTATTCTCCACTAGATGGCTCTGCTTAGCTTACTGGGTGGACTGTTGTAGCGTGTGTAGGTGTGTATGCGCATGCGTGGAAGGAGTGAAAATGGCATCACCCAGCTACCCAGTCTCTAGTATTGGAACTCTGGTCTCCCTGATCAGCTATCATGCACCCCTCCTTTGTCTCCAGCTTCCATCCACTCCCCACTTCTGCACTGTCTGTGACCAAGCCAGCAGGCTGCAGGTGGCACCTCCCTGCTGAGTTTTATCTCAGATGAGGCTGTTTCCCAACCCCTCACTTCTGAGGGACCGTGGTGTTGACCTGTTCTGACCCCTGCAGGAGGATCTCACCAAGCAATGGCGGCCACACCCAGGAACATTCGCAGGACCATGCTTCTCTCGATGCCCAGAGACCGTGGCTGGGTGCCAGCCTGCCCCCCCAAGAGTTCATGCAACCTTATAGCAGAAGCATTTCAGGGATTATGGAAAATCACAACATCTGGCACCAGGCTTCAACCTTAACATCCTTGTTCCACCACCAGCAAATGTGGATGTTCTCCGGGGTCTGCTGGGACCTTTGCCTGTGGGGTGGCCACACAGCCTCTACCAAATTTCCCCCCTTGGGGGACTGCATCTTCCCATGTGGCCTAAGGACCTCACTCTCTCCTCCTGGGCATTCGCCATTCCCACCCGAGCACTGCCAGGTAAAGAGCCGCAGAGTTTCAGATTCTGTGCTCCCCCTGTTCGTAGAGTCTTCATGGAATTTAAAACCTCTCCTTTCTGCCTTTTTTGTTCAGTCCCTTGCATACTTTTTCTTTTCTCTCCAGCTGCTTTTGGGGGGGGGGGATGCTTTCCATTCTCTCCTCCTGTCTCCATCCTCTCTCCAAGCAAAAACAGCTCCCTGCCCTCTGCAGCTTTCTCCCCCAGTTCACCTCTCCATGTTATGTACCTGTTGAGTTCTCTGGTTTGGGTTGTTAATCCTCAAATCAGTTTACTAGGTGTGCAGAATGGTTTAGTGTTGATCTGGCTGCATTTCAGGGACGCGAGACACACACACACAAAAAAAAACCTTCCATGCTGTTGTACCATCTTGGTCCCTCCCTGTGTTTTCTTTTATCTCATTAATTTTCCTTAAAGCGGCTATTTTGAATTATTCTCCAGGTAAATCCCTTGAGAATAGTATTGGTTGTTGGAATATTATTGGTAGGAATTGGTGGAGTCATGTTTCCGTATTGTTTTCATGTTTCTTTGAAGTTTTTCCTCGCTGTCTTTGCATATGAAGTGTAGTTACATCCTGTAGTTTTTACTAACTGCCTCCAGGGAGAAATACCTCCTGTCAGCCCAGCTAGAGATCAAGGCTTCCTCAGATCTTCTGGGGTCATGCCAGTTCCATGCCTCTTGCTCCCTCTTGTGGCACAATTCTTATATTTGTGTGCTTTGTCCCTACCCTGCCAGGCACCAGACCAAGTGCTAACAGACTCTGGTCTTGCTTTTCCCAAAGGTAACACTACCTGCTGTTGCTAAAGTGGTAGTCTCTCCCTGTCTGCCAGAGATTACTCTCACTGCTCTCTTCAGAAGCAGGCAAAGGAAGCTGACCACGGAATGGGGCAGTGAGGGGGAGGAATACAGAATACTCGTCGTGTCTGTGGGCCACCCAGTGACTCCTGAGTGGACTTCTTGATGGTTTCCACAACACAGTGAGTAGGAGCTGTCCCCCTCATGTATTCTGAGATTCCTTTCTGCCATTCTGTCAAGCTCTTCCCACCCCCTTACACCCTATCCCAATCCTGGAACTCCTGATTTGGTACCCTAACTCAGTACTTTTTCTTTTCTCTCTAATGGGGCACTTGTAGAAATCTGGACTTCCATGAAGGCTCTCTCATACATGGGTGATTGTCTAAGTCCGTGTTTTCCAAGGTCTCCTGGACTATGGCTAAAAGGGACTGCAGCAAGTTAATGGGCCACTGCAAGGACCACAGCTGGGACCACAGTATGTCTGTCTGTTACCCGATGCAAAGGTGAGTGAGACGCCTCACAGCTCCCCTGACATATGGTGCTGGACCCCCCAGCTCCTACAAGCTACGTTTGTTAATAAATGGATGCTGGATTTGTGTTGGGGGAGGAGGCTGGGGTGCAGGAAGAGGAGAAAAAACAAGAGTGTCTTACAGCAGTTTATTTCTTTTTATTTAAAAAAATTTTTTTTAATGTTTATTTATTTTTGAGACAGACACAGAGCGTGAGCAGGGGAGGGGCAGAGAGAGAGGGAGACACAGAATCCGAAGCAGGTTCCAGGCTCTGAGCTGTCAGCACAGAGCCCAACGCAGGGCTCGAACTCCCCGACCGCGAGATCATGACCCGAGCCAATGTCGGACACTCAACCAACTGAGCCACCCAGGCGCCCCTGGTTAGTACAGACATTTTAACAAGATTTTTTCTTCCAATCTATGAACATGGAGTATTTTTCCATTTCTTTGTGTCCTCTTCAATTTCTTTTATTTTGTTAATGTTTATTTTTGACAGAGCATGAGTGGGGGGCGGGCAGAGACACAGGGAGACACAGAATCCAACGCAGGCTCCAGACTCTGAGCTGTCAACACAGAGCCCAACGTGGGGCTCAAACTCACAAACTGTGAGATCATGACCTGAGCCGAAGTCGGTCGCTCAACCGGCTGAGCCACCCAGACGCCCCATACAGCAGTTTACTTCTTAAAATAAGCTTTCTGCTTCCTTCTTCCTCTTTTCTCCTTTGGGACTCCAGTGAGGTGTAGATGGGTTTTTTTGGGTTTTTTTTTGTTTGTTTTTTTTAGTTGTGTCCCATAGATCCTGAAGGCTTCCTTTATTATGCATTCTTTTCTCTTTTTTACTCCTCTGATTGAATATTTCAAATGATCTGTCCTCAAGATCGGCCATTCTTCTGCTTTGTGTAGTCTACTGTTGAAGATTTCTGTTGAATTCTTCAGCCATTGTATTCTTCAGCTCCAAAACTTCTGTCTAGTTCTTTATGCTTTCTCTTTGTTGAATTTCTCACTTTGTTCTTCTATTTGTTTTCCTGATTTCAGTAACTTGTGTTCACTTGTAGCTTTCCGAGTATCTTTTTTTTTAAAGTTTTTATTTTAATTCCAGTTAGTTAACATATAGTGTTATATTAGTTTCAGGTGTACAATATAGTGATTCAACAATTCTGTACATCACCCAGTGCTCATCACAAGGGCACTCCTTAATCCCCACCACCCATTTCACCCCAGCCACCTCCCCTCTGGTAACCATCATTTCTGAGTATCTTTCAAACAATTACTTTGAATTCTTCTTAAGGAAATGTACGTATCTCCATTTCTTTGGGGTCAGTTATTAGAAGTTTCCTGTGTTCCTTTGGTGGGGGCATGTTTCACTCATTCTTTTCGATCCCTGTAGCCTTGCATCAGTGTCTGCACATTTGAATGAGCAATAACCTCTTCTAGACTTGATGGACAAACTGCAGTAAAGGGGGAAGACCTTCAAGCAGGAGCGTGTGCTAGCTTTGGATCAGGGGGCGTGAGGCAGGCACATGATGTCTCGTCAGCTCAAGCTGCTGAGATCCACACCATCAATAGCTGTGTGGCCCTTGGAAAGTACTGCAGGGGGGTTCACAGTGGCTGTAAGGGCTGTAGAGGACCTCAATGGCCCCTCCTGGTCCAGCAGCTTGGGCCAGGGAGCAGTGGTGGCAGGGTCCGGGGCATGCACACACTCCGCAGGAGGGTCCAGCTGCACAGGCCTGTGTAGTGCCCAGGAGTGGTTGCAGACACCCGTGCAGTGATGGAAGTCTGGCCAGCCGCAGGTGCACTGGTAGCTGTAGGAGTTCTGGCTGTCAGCATACACTCTTGAGGCTGTAGGGGGTCTTTCCAGGGGTGTATACAGGGCACTGGAGGCAGTGAAAACAGCTGGGCTGGGGGCGTGCAGGTGAATAGCTGGAAAAGGCCAGCTGCACATAAGCACAGGGGTATAGGTCAGTGACAAGAGACAGGGACAAAGCTGAGCCCACAAGTAGCTAAGGGGGTCCTGGCTGTCTGGTACACAGCAGTGGATGCGGGTAGTAGGAGTCAGGCTAGCGGGGTGCAGGTACACAGCTGGAGGGGCTAGTTATACGTGAGCACAGAGGTGCAAGCTAGTGACTGGAGATAGGGCTGAATCTGGGTCACAAGCAGCTATAGGGGTCTGGCTGTGGCCTGCACTTGGGTAGCTACAGGCTATCACCAGGGGCCTGCAAATGGCAGTAGAGGCCTGGGACAAGCATCAGGCCAGCAGCACGAAGGACACAGCTGGAGCTAGCACCTGTGTGTTGGGGGGTCAGCTGCAGGGATCTAGGCAGGTGTCATGCACTCAGCAGCTGCAGAGAGAGGCCTGAGCTGGGCTCCAACATGCATCCCAGGCTCCAGCAGGTACACGGAGGAGGGCATGGGAGGTATCCTGGTGGCTGGTGTCCAAGTAGGTTGGAGAACAAGAAGCCGGAGGCACCATAAGCATGTCCTGAAGGAGAGGGACAGAGCAGCAAGGAAGCGAGAGCAGTTTCATCCCCAGGACAGAAAGCTGCCGGGACTACTCGCTCCCTCCAGAAGGACATCATGTGGGTGCCAGGCCTGGAGATAAGAATGTTTTGTTTGGTGCCAGATGTACTCATGACCCATTATGGAAAACACTGCAGGTGCACGACCTGTCAAGATGCCACATACTATGTCGTATGTGCTTGCTGTTATCAGACAATTTGCAAAAATAAAAGAGGCTTGAGCCAGGAGACCGATGCTTTGGCTCCTGGAGAGTCTCACCTTGAGGACCTCTCTTCAGCTGGTGCCTGAACAGGGAACCTGAAGGGGGACGTGTGCAGCACCACTGAAGAAGGGCCCAGGGAACCGAAGGAAACTTTGGAGCTGGGGAAGCTCATCCTTCAGGATTTCTGCAGGGTAAGTATAGGGGATTCCACCCCATCTAGTTATCACTTACATATTCAGCTCTTGCAGACTTTATTAAAGAGCTCAGGGGTAAAAGTGAAACGATCGGCGTTTCAGGATTTGTTATAGTTAGTAAAGAAACATTGTTACCGGTTTATGCCTCTGGCAAAGATGCTTTGAATCAGAAACAATGGAACTTGGTTTTATGTGCTTTGTGCCACGCTTATCAGCAAGAAACCATCCCTCTCTCCCTATGGTCTTTATGTAACTTAAGTTCCCTGGCTTTGCAGCCCTTGCAGTCAGAATCAGGGGAAGAAGGGGACATTGGTCATCACAACCCCTCACTTGCTGAAAGTGATCATGAGCTTGTAGATAGTGACTCAGGGCCCGAGCCCGTATCCCACCACCAGAGGAATAGAAACCTATAGGTCCCAGGTTATGGCCCAGAGATAGTCGCAGCTCAGGCTTCCGTACTCCTGCCTCCCTCATGGCCCCACGGCCCTGAACCCATCCATCCCTTTGAGGAAACTAAATGTTCCGCTTATTCAAAAAACCCATTTCTTGGTATCTCCACTCATAGTATCACAATTCGTTTCCCCCTTAATGCAGGTGCTTCAACAAACTAAGGCTGCGGGGGGGACACTGAATTAACACCTAGTATGCCTGCAGCTTATCTTGTCAACATTACCCAAATTCCTCCTAATCAGAAATATCCTCAGGGAGGGCAATGATTTTATCTGGTTCCTTTCGGTTTTAAGGTAATTAATGACTTGAAACAGGCTTGCACGCAATACAGTGTTAATTCCTCTTATACATTGGGATTGGTGTCTGGGTTAGCCAATTCAGAGCGACTCATTCCATGGGACTGGGCGGTCCTGGGTCGCACTGTCCTAAGCGCTTCTGAATTTTTGCAGTTTAGGACTTGGTGGGAGGAAGAAGCACAGATACAGGCCCGGCATGATGCCGCCCTGAATCCTCCTGTGCCCATTACCGGGAAACAACTTACCAGGAGCAGACAGGGTTTGGCATACAGGTTCAGCTTCAGTATGATGTTCAAGCAGTGATACAAGTTAGATTGTGCTGCCTGAATGCCTGGGAGAAAATAGCTACCCCAGGACAGGCTACACCCTCTTTTGTTCAAGTCAAAGAGAGTCCTAACGAGCCCTATGTAGATTTTATTGCTGGGTTAAAGGATGTTATTATAAAAAGCACCTCTCAGGCAGGCTTACCGGATCTCCTCTTACAGCTGCTGGCTTTTGGTAATGCTAATAAGGAATGCCAACAAGCTTTATACCCAGTGAAGTCTCAAGGAGGTGATTTAACTGATTATATAAAGGCCTGTCAAGATATCAGCTCAGAGGTCTATAAAATGTGCCTTGAATAGCCACTGCCAGCAGCCCCTGGACTTTACAAACAGTCCAAGCATTTTCGCTGTGGCAAATTGGGACATTATAAAAGGGATTGCTGACAGCTGAGCTGTAACAACTCCCATGATCTACCTCACCCCCAGAATGAAATTCTAAGCCTCCTGGGTTATGCCCTGGATGCAATAAAGGCTATCATTTTGCAAATCAATGTAGATCTAAATTCCATAAGAATAGAGCTCCCCTGCCATCTTGGTGGGGGAGACAGGGATAACGCCCCCCCCCCCCCCCAACCAGGGCCCGAATGTAAAGAATACGGGGAATTAGATTCCACATTATTACCCTGTGAGCTACGGGACTTACCATGCAAGTCTGTCCATGACCTTCTCCATGCCACATGAGGGAGTGCTGCATTAGATATTCCTGCCCCAGAGTCTCTGGTCCTCAAACTCTCCGTGGGAATTTATAAGGTTAAAACTGGGATTTACGGGCCTCTTCAGGGTCCATTGGCCTTCTTATTAGACGAAGCAGTCTTACGTCCAAGGGAGTTCGTGTCTACTTAGGAATTATAGAAGCTGGTTTTAAGGATGAAGTTTTAGTAATGATTAGTACTTCAGTTCCTTATCATGTCTTGCAGGAGATCGCATTGCCCAACTACCGTTGTTGCCTTACATTGCTTTAATTTCCATGCCAATAGACTGGCAGGGAGGGTTTGGATCTACGGGCAAACAGATATCTTGGCAAACATTTCTAAAGGACAAAGGCCTGAGATGACCTTACAAATGAATGGAAAATCATCTACTGGCCTGGTAGACTCAGGAGCTCATGATGTCACCATCATCGCTTCTAAGTTTTGGCCTAAGAATTGGCCACTCCGACCTATATCCACAGTCTTTACAGGTGTAGGAAAAGCTACTGACATCCAACAGAGTGTTGAAAGTTTTCTATGTGAAGGGCCTGAAGGCCAGGCTGCTACTATCCAGACTTATGTTACTGATACAGCCATTAATCCATGGGGAAGAGACCTCCTAAGTCAATGGGGAGCATGTTAATATTCCTTATGTTTCCCCTGCTGCAACCAATATGGTGTCCAAAGTGAGTTATAATCCATTAAAAGGGCTTGGACGACAAGAACATGGGCGTATGGGAACAATTACTGCCGAAACGTGGCCACCTTGTGTGGGACTGGGATAGTCTGTACAGAATTCAGGTTTAGTGTAAGAGCCACTGTTCCTGAACAACGTTATGCCTTAGCATTAGAATGGTTAACAACTGCCCTGGTGTGGGTGGAACCGTGGCCCCTCCCAAAAGAGAAATTAGAGGCTCTAGAACAATTAGCGCAAGGACAATTGGATGCAGGTCATGTAGAAATGCCCACCAGTCCATGGAATTCTTGTGTGTGTGTGATAAAGAAAAAATCTGGGAAATGGAGAATGTTGACTGACTTAAGGAAGGTAAACGAGGTTATACGGTCTATGGGACCTTTGCTTTGCAACCTGGGCTCCTGTCTCCTACTATGATTGCTCAGAACTGGTCATTAATTATAGTAGATTGAGCCAAAGTATAAGAGACTGTTGAGAACTGAGAACAAACTGAGGGTTGATGGGGGGTGGGAGGGAGGAGAGGGTGGGTGATGGGTATCGAGGAGGGCACCTTTTGGGATGAGCACTGGGTGTTGTATGGAAACCAATTTGACAATAAATTTCATATATAAATAAAAATAAATAAAAAATAAAAGATTGTTTTTCAGTTCTTCTACTGCCAGATGATAGAGAAAAATTTGCCTGTTCTGTACCTTCAGACAATCATATGGTTCCTGTGTGATGCCATCCATGGAAAGGGCTTCTGCAAGGTATGCTTAATAGCCCTACTACGTGTCAGCATTTTGTTAATCAGCCACTTTCACAATTACTTATTCAGGTCCCACAGGTGTTGATTATCCATTACACGGATGATATTCTTTTTGCTGCAGAAACACCTACACAGATAAAAGATCTTTATCAGGCCGCTGGGTTATTGTACCCAAATACAGCCTAATAGTAACAACAACAACAACAAAGTGCAAACCCAAGATCCCTTTCTTTATCTTGATGCAAAAATTCACAAGGCAACCATCATTCCCCAAAAAGTACAGATTGGCTGAGATAATTTGAAACTTTAAATGATTTCCAGAGGTTACTAGGAGATATAAATTGGTTGCGACCTGCTTTGGGAATCCCAACTTACACCTTATCTCATCCTTTCCAAACATAAGCCCCTGATCCCAACCTTAACAGCCCTAGGGTCCTCACAAAAGAGGCAGAAGCTGAATCACAGTGGATTGAAAATCATATTCAAAATTGTCAGCTCACTCGTGTTTGACTTAATGTTCCTCTTCAATTATTGATTTTTCCTACTCCACATTCTCCAGCTGCGGTCGTAGGCAGGATGGGGGAATCCTCGAATGGCTGTTTTTACCAAGTAAGGACTCTAAAAGTCTTACCATGTATCTGGATAAAATTGGGAATGTAATTTGGAGAGGCCGATCCCGATTACGTGTGCTTAATGGTAGCAATCCCTCTTCTATAATTATTCCCTTATCATATCAACAAACTGATATGGCTTACCAAATTAATATACAATGACAAATAGCTTTGCCTGATTACGCAGGGAAATTAGACAATCACTATCCGAGGGACAAAAATTTTGTCATTTCTCAAGGTTACATCATGGATTTGGCCAAAGATAATTCGAGAGTGGCCTTTCGCAGATGCTGACACATATTTTACAGATGGAAATGGTCATGGTAGAGCTTCTATACATGGTCCTATCTCTAAGGCCTGGAAGACACCCTGTACATCTACCCAAAAAGCTGAATTAGCAGCCATTATAGGATTGTTGCATCTTGTACCTGCCTCCCTCGATATTGTGACAGATTCACAATGTGCATGGTTCACAGTCCTAAATATTGAAACTGTACATATTGTGCCATGAAATGAATTACATCATCTGTTTTTGCATTTATAAGAATTAATATGGCATAGGCAACGCCCTTTTTGTATCACTCATATTCACAGTCATTCTAACCTTCCTGGCCCATTATCCTTAGGAAATTCCATTGCTGATGACTTATTACAAGGCACCTTACAAATGGCACAACAGGAGCATATGCTTCACCATACTAATGCTCAAGGACTTTCCCATAGACACTATAACACATGCTGAGTCAAAAGACATCGTTAGTGCCTGTCCTTGTTGCAACCCCCTCACTGTGGCTCCATATACCTCTGGAGTGAATCCTTGTGGACTACAGGCAAATGAACTTTGGCAATCTGATGTTACCCATATTCCTGGTTTCGGTAAGTTCTCTTATGTGCATGTTACTGTGGATACCTTCTCCAGATAGATCTGGGCCACGGCATATACCGGAGAAAAGACTAGGCATGTCAGTGCTCATTTTCTTGAAACCTTTGCAATTCTAGGTATCCCACAACACATTAAAACTGATAATGGCCCTGCATATGTATCTCATAAGGAGTCCAATTCTTTGTAGCCTGACAAATTACTCATCTTACTGGCATTCCCTAGAACTCTCACAGTCAAGGGATCACAGAACATACTCATCAGGTACTTAAAAACATGCTAATTAAACAAAGAGGGGGAGAAGAAGAAGGACTGAGACCTACGCCACGGGAACAATTACATCCGGCCTTATATACTTTAAGTTTCTTGGACATATGAGGACCCCATACATGTCCTTCTGCTGAGATACACTGGCACAAGAAAAAGGTCACCCCTGTTTACCAGCCGGTATATTGGAAAGATGAGAAGGGACACGGGGAAAAGGGAGAAGTTGTTGTGTGGGGCAAAGGGTATGCTTATGTCTTTACAGATCAAGGCTACCAGTGGTTACCCAGTCACCGGTTGAAACCCAGGCATGAGCTGATCCAAGCAACCGCAGTTCGACATGACCCCACCAAAGAGTTTCACAGAATGTCCACTGAGAAACCAATAATTGTGCCCAGTGCACCACACCCTCTCCTGAGGAGCACTAGGACCTCTTAGCCTCCTACTCAGGGACAAGTTAAGAGGTTGATGCACGCTGCTGAAAAAATCTTGATGCAGACTCGCAGCCCACAAAACTCCTGCTCACCTTTTCCTTGCGATGCTCGTGGTTATCACTACTATGGTAAGCGCTGATAACTATATTTACTGGGCTTATATCCCTCATCCACCTCTCAATCGGCAGAAATTGGTACAACTCCCCCATGCCGGTATATACAAATGACACTGAATGGACACCTGGGCCATTTGACAACAGAGAAACACATAGGCCCAATGAAGAAGGTACTGTTATGGATAATTATGCTATAGGGACTGAAGGTCGTCCTATATGTTTTGGTTACAGGAAACACTGCCTCAAAAGTAAGCCTCAAGCATGGTGATCTATTATTAAAAACAGGGCCCAGCACAAACCTATTTTCTTACTCTCAGCCCATTCTCTGATTGGCTCCAATCTTAATGACACTCCTCCAATGCTTCTGTCTTGTGCTACTCGTACATTGTCAGAATGGGGTGGATGGGTGACTTGGGAAGCATGTAGAGGGGAGATAGGGTGAGTTCTTTTAAATACTTCCTATGGAAGCATCGTTGATTGGAGCCCTCTGGGCTCAGTTCCCCTTAAAAACTCATTACAAAATCTACGATGGTGTGTTCATAATCATACTATCAGCACCACTGCTAATGGCTCAGTCATTTGGCATGGTGGGGGATTTTCTGCACCCAGCCCTCGTTTACGACAAGGACCATTACAAAAGCATATATGGACATGAACTGCTGCCCTCCACCCTTTACATACCTGCAAGGGCACATATTATAAAAACAGCCCCAGCACTATTTCTACTCTATCCTTCACGGTCAATAGTACCCGATACATACGGGCTTGTGTCCGTTTGCCATACATACTATTAAAAGCACAGATAGTTTGGAATGATGCTGAGGCCCTTATAACTTGTGTTAACTGCTCATTATATACCTGTCTTAATTCTATACCCTTTACTATGTCATCCAAAAGCTTATATTTACTTAGAGCACGCACTGGCCTGTGGCTGCTGGTTTGCATGTCTCAACCATGACAACATTCTCCAGAAATGTATCTGATGGACCAGGCTCTACAGCGAGTTCTTCACTGATCCCAAAGGTTTGCTGGAATACTTGTTGCAGCTCTCATATGCATTATTGCTGTGACTGCCACCATAGCCACTGCAGCTGTCTCGTTGCACCAATCTGCGCAGATGGTACAATTTGTGCAACAACGGCATGAGAAATTGCACCACCTTGGAAGACACAGCAGGACATTGACAGTAGATGGTCCAGTGAGATTGCAGACCTACAACAGGCTGTGATATTGCTGGGGATCAATTAGTGAGCCTACAAAGGCAAAGATCATTAAAATGTTATTGGAACACTACACCAATGTGTAACCCCATTGCTGTTTAATAACACTAAATTTCCATGGAATGGCATTAAGAGACACTTGCTCAATCAAACATGTCCATGGACATTTAACATCTGCAAGCAGGGATATAGGAGACTTCCAAAACAAATCTGGACATGTTATCTGGTTCTAAGATCTTAGAAAGTATATCAGAGGGATTGGGAAAATTAAATGCTATAGAGCATATTGGGATTTTTAGTTTCTCTACTGCTATTCTGTTTGTATTAATATGCAATGTATTTATCTTTGCATGTGCAGTCTGGTGCCAGGGACAATGAGCCTGTCAACGGACCAACAGCTTGGGTTATACAATGTCCTCCTATAGCCCATTGTATATAAACAAAAAGGGGGAGATGTTGGAGAACAAGAAACCAGAGGCACGTAAGGATGTCTTGAAGGAAAGGGACGGAGCAGCGAGGAACCAAAAGCAGTTTTATCCCCAGGACGGAAGGCCGCCGGGACTGCTCATTTTCTCCAGAAGGACATCATACGGGTGGCCAGGACTGGGGATAAGAATGTTTTGTCTGTCACCAGATGTACTCATGACCCAGTATGGAATACACTGCAAGTGCACAACCTGTCAAGATGCCACATACTATGTTGTAATGGCTTGTTATCAATTTGCAAACATAAAAGAGGCTTGAGCCAGAGGACCAATGCTTTGGCTCCTGGAGAGTCTCAGCCCCCTGCTTTGTAATTCTCTCATCACCACACCTTCAGGACCTGTCTCTCTACACAAGTATGTGAATATCTTTGGGTTTTCAGATACTGTGCTGGCCAGTTGTTTGAGAGAGCTGCTGGGGTCCTCTGGAGAGCAAATCACTTGGAACCAATGTCGCTCCTGCTGTGTGACTGTTACTGGTAGCCAAGGCTCTTCTTTTTTTGTTCCTAGCCTTCTCTGTACATCTCAGGTTTGCTAGTGTCTGAATGAAGTGCAACAGAAGTAGGTCCCTTGTGTGGTGCCTCAAAAGCCTGGAGAAACTGGTTGGTCACCCTGCTCTCCCTTTTCCAGTTAGGGAAATGCTTTCTGGCCAGAGTGTTTCTGCTTGGTACTGAGCAGTGCCCAACTGGAAGACCAGTGATGCAAGCAAAATTAAGATATTTTTCCTTTCCTTTGTGTGCACTTATGCTCAGGGTTTTCTTCCCCACTGTGTTGCTGTTATTTCCTAAGTGGACCCCTGAGCTATCCCAGAGAGCTTTTTGTTTGTGGGTAGATGGCTAATCGTAGATCTCTGTGGGAAAACAGAAGGTAGGGCCTCCTATTTCACCATCTTGGTGATGCCACTTCAGCTGTCTTAGTATGCTAAATGAGTTGAAATCATGGGAAAAAAATTAAAATCAGGAAGATGTGAATGAATATGGAATATCAATTAAATTACAGAAATTATTCACACACACACACACAAATAGAAATTCTAGAGTTGGAAGCACAATAGCTGAAATGGCAAAAATTCACTAGGGGGATTCAGCAGCAGGTTTGAGCAGGCAGAAGAAAGAATTCATGAACTTAAAACAATTGGAAAATTAATCTGAAGAACAAAAAGAAAATGCACAGAGGGAAATTTGAAGATATAAATGCTTATGTTTAGAAAAAGGACAGATCTCGGGGCGCCTGGGTGGCGCAGTCGGTTAAGCGTCCGACTTCAGCCAGGTCACGATCTCGCGGTCCGTGAGTTCGAGCCCCGCGTCGGGCTCTGGGCTGATGGCTCGGAGCCTGGAGCCTGTTTCCGATTCTGTGTCTCCCTCTCTCTCTGACCCTCCCCCGTTCATGCTCTGTCTCTCCCTGTCCCAAAAATAAATAAACGTTGAAAAAAAAATTAAAAAAAAAAAAAAAAGAAAAAGGACAGATCTCAAATCAGTACAATAATCTCCCATTTTATGATACTAGAAAAGAGCAAACTATAAGCAAAGGTAGACGGGAGAAGTAGAAAACCAAAGATTAGAGTCAAGGTAGATGAAAGAGAATGGAAAACAATATGGAAGTCAATGGAGGCAAAAGTCAGTTTTGGGGAAGGATCCGCAAAATTGACAAGCTTTTAACTAAATGTACTAAGAAAATAGAAAATCCCATGCAAATAACTAAAATCATAAATGAAAATGGATAATTACCAACAGTACAAGAAACAAAAAGTATCATTAGAGAATATTCTGACCAAAGTATATAACCTCCATGAGATGGATGAATTTCGAGAAACACAGAGTTCCAGAACTGACTCTAGAAGAAATAAAAAATCTGAATAGACCTATCACAAGTAAAGAGATTAAATCAGTAACCAAAAATCTCCCAACAATGCAAAGTTCAGCACAAGCTGTATTATTGACAAATTGAAGAGTTACCAACCCTTCTAAAATTCTTCCCAAAAAATGACAGGAGGAAATACCTCTTAAATCATTCTATGAGGCCAATATTCAATATCAAAGCCAGAAAAGAACAAGAAACTATAGACCACTATCTCTAATGAATAGAAATGAAAATCCTCAATAAAACAATAGCAAACAAAATCCAACAGCACATTATAAAGAAAATAAATACTGCAAACAACCTTCTGCCCATATGTTTTACACACATCTTAGGTGAAATTTACTGTTGTAAAACACAAACTATAAATATTCACTAAAGAAAAATTATAGCCTGAATAGTCCTCTATCAATGAGAAAATTGTGTAGTCAAAACATTCCAAAAAAGAAAATCTCAGTCCCAATTGGTTTTACTGTTGAACTCTACCAAACACTTATGAAGGAAACAATACCAATTCTACACAATATATTCCAGAATACAGAGGATGAGTCAACACTTATCAACTCATTACATGAGGGCAGTGTTAACACTGCCACCAAAACCAGGAAGAAGGCATCACAATGAAACTACAATCTAATATCCCTTACAGACATAGATCCAAATATCATAAACAAAATGTCAGCAAACAAAATCCATCAATACATAACAGGTGTAATAAATCACAAAAAAATTGGGTTTATTCTCAGAACACAAGGTTGATTCAATGCAAACTATCAACTTAATTCACCTTAAAAGAAACCAAAAGAGGGGGTGTCTAGGTGGCTCAGTCAGGTAAGCGCCCGACTTCAGCTCAGGTCATGATCTCACAGGTCCCGAGTTTGAGCCCCATGTTGGGCTCTGTGCTGACAGCTCAGCGCCTACCTGCTTCAGATTCTGTGTCTCCCTCTCTCTCTCTCTCTCTGCCCCTCTCCTGCTCATGCTGTCTCTCTCTCAAAAATAAACAAACATTAAAAAAATTTAAGAGATCAGGGGCGCCTGGGTGGCTCAGTCGGTTAAGCGTCCGACTTCAGCTCAGGTCACGATCTCGCGGTCCATGAGTTTGAGCCCCGCGTCGGGCTCTGGGCTGATGGCTCAGAGCCTGCAGCCTGCTTCCGATTCTGTGTCTCCCTCTCTCTCTACCCCTCCCCCGTTCATGCTCTGTCTCTCTCTGTCTCAAAAATAAATAAAACGTTAAAAAAAAATAAAAAAAAATTGAGATCAAAAGAGAAAAAATACACAATCATCTTCAAACTTAATATTTTTTTATATTTATTTTTGAGAGACAGAGAGACCCAGTAGGGGAAGGGCAGAGAGAGAGTAAGACACAGAATCTGAAGCAAGCTCCAGGATCTAAGCTGTCAACACAGAGCCAGATGCAGGGTTCGAACTCATTAAGCTGAATTCAGACACTTAACCAACTAAGCCACCCAGGTGCCCCAAACTTAGCATTTTTAAGATGCCAGTTTTCCACAAATTTATAGATTCAATATCTCAATAAAAATATACAATATTTTGTGTAGAAATTGATAAATTGATTCTAAATTTCACATGCAAATGGAAAGGAACCAGCATAGACAAACAACCTTGAAAAATAACAAAGTTGGAATATTTATAATACCTAATTTCAAATCTTATTATAAGGCTACAGTGCCAAAATTCTGTGGTATTGGTATAAAAATAGGCACACACAAAGGGGTGTCTGGGTGGCTCAGTGGTTAAGCATCCAGCTCTTGGTTTCAGCTCAGGTCATGATCTCCTGGTTCATGAGTTTGAGCCCCACATCGGGCTCTGTGCAGAGCCTGCTTAGGATTCTCTCTCCCTCTCTCTCTATCCCTCCCCTGCTTGCTCTCTCAAAATAAATAAACTTTAAAAAGTAGGCACATACATCAAGGGAGTAAAAGTGGGTCCAGAAACAGACCCACGTAAAATTAAAAAAAAAAAAAAAAGATTCCCTTTCCAGAAAGCAGCCAATTAGAAACTTATTTTATTAAATTTGTATTGAGAGGAGGAGCCAACATGGTGGAGAAGTAGGGGTATCCATACTTCCCACTTCTCTCAAACAAAGAAGGCCTGAAGCCAAAGGACTTTGAACCCCAAGAGTCTGGAGGAAAAGAGACTGAGTCTACCAGGGAGAAACTGGTACCTGATGGGCCATAGGTGGGTGATTGCAAACTGGGGGAGATAAAAGGGGCCATGTAGGCAAGGAGGGGAGGGATCCTCTTTTGCAGAGAGACAAAGGCATGTGAAAGAGCAGCTGGGGAAGCATAGGACTGTATCTGGACAAGAGATAAACCTCAGACAAGGATGGAGAGGGATCCCATCTCTAAGTGCAGGTTAAAGGATCTCTAACTGCAGATCCCATCCTCAGACTGGAGCCGGCTGTCCTGTTCACACACCTGGGGAGGAGAGGAGCCACTCCAGGATTCAGTGGGAGATCAGGGGCACAGTCTTCAGGAGAAACCAGTCCCCTCCTCTGAAGTGCTGTGGCACAGGACAAAACCAGCTGGGACCTCATATCAGGAGGTGCTTCCCCAATACCAGGGTACACAGAGTGGGAGTTTAAATCCCAGCCAAGCACAGGGGCAAAGGAGTTGGCAGAGCGAGACAGCCAGCCTTGTCTGTGCCCTCAGCACAGTGAGGATGGCTCCAAAGGAGCCCAAAGAAATTCCCAAAGGAATGATTTGGGACACCGGGTTGTGGAGAAGAGACTGAGGGGTCACCATTTTTCTCCCCACCACCACCAACACGGGGCCTCAGGGATCGGTCCACGGGGCCCACAGTGGAGGCGGGGCCAGCCTACACCAAACCACGCCCCTCCATGCTGGGTAATTGCATATCTACTGGAACAGGATAGATGCTGTGGAACCAGAGAGACCACCCCCCCCCCCACCCTTCCTGGCCAGTGCTGCTGCATTGCCTGGATTAATTCAAGGACAATTTTTGTTATATAGATATATTCTCCCATCCATTTCTCCTTCTTATCAATTCCCTCCTCTGGGCTGGTTACTCCAGTTATTGGTTTGTTTAAACAGACCTATTTAATCCATTCTCTTGATACATGTTCTACGCCCCCTTCTTTACATTCCATTCTCTCTCTCTGGAATAATCAAGCAGTATAGTTTTTCTGTCTGCATAACTTTATCTTTGTTTCTTTTTCCCCCACCTCCTTCCTTATTTTCCTTTCTGTCTCTCTGGATTAAGCCTTTTAGTCTCTCTGCCTGGTCAATGTTTATTTTTTCTTCTTCCCCACCCCTGTCATTTCTTGTTCTTTACTTGTAGCTAGTGTTTCTGGTTTTTTGCTTTTGGATTGTCTTTAGTTTTTTGTTTTTTCTTTTTGTTTGTTTGTGTGTCTTTGTTTCCTGTTTGTCTGTATGTTTTCCTTTCCAGGGCTACCCAGGGAACAAACCAAAGCAAACCTGGTGGAGGGTCCAAAACATCACTACGAGTAGGAAATAAAATAACCAAAGTCACAACAACAGAGAGCAAGTAACACTCTCCAAAAAACACCTCTTGAAGGGCCAGGCCCTGGACAGTGTATGACAATCCCCCCTTTAATATAGCAGTGCTCACAGGTGCAGAGCACATAACATAAGGGACAGAAAACTAGCCAAAATAATCAAACAGAAGAATTTTCCTCAAAAGAAATTCCAGGAATTAGCGACAGCTAAAGAATTAATCAAAACAGATATAAGCAACATAACTGAACAATAATTTAGAAGAATCATAAAATTAATCACTGGGCTTGAAAAAAGCATAGAAGACAGCAGAGAATCTATTGCTACAGAGATCAAGGGACTAAAATATAATCGTGATGAATTAAGAAATGCTATAAATGAGGTGCAAAATAAAATGGAGGCAGCCACCGCACAGATTGAAGAAGTGGAGGGGAGAATAGGGGAATTAGAAGATAAAATTATGGAAAAAGAGGAAGTTGAGAAGAGAGATAAAAAATCCAGGAGTATGAGGGGAGAATTAGAGAACTAAGTGATGCAATCACATGGAATAATATCCATATCATAGGAATTCCAGAAGAGGAAGAGAGAGAGAGAGGGGCCGAAGGTGTACTTGAACATAT